ACCCTCATATCTCACTGTTTCTTCCTCTACACCATACATTTTAAAATGACCAGGATACTTGTCATTTCCCTAATGCTCCACAAATCACCCCCCCACTCTGGGTCCCCCCCCCCATTTCCGTGTCTCTACTCAAGTGATCTCATCAATTTGGAATGCATTGTGAAAGTCTATCCAAACAACTACCACCATTACTCGTTTCCTTTTTTTTTTTTTTTTTAAGATTTTATTTATTTGACAGAGAGAGACACAGCGAGAGAGGGAACACAAGCAGGGGGAGTGGGAGAGGGAGAAGCAGGCTTCCCGCTGAGCAAGCAGCCCGACGCGGGGCTCCACCCCAGGACTCTGGGATCATGACCTGAACCAAAGGCAGACGCTTAACAACTGAGCCACCCAGGCGCCCCAATTACTCAAGTTTCTTACACACCTACTCCTGGACTTCACATGAGACTTGCCTTCCTCCCCTCTGGTGATCTGTGGCTTAGTTTAGCTAACGTTCCACAATCCTCTCCTCTCTTACACCTCACGCCTCAACTACTCTTCCTTGTACACAAGGTTCCACTTATTCCCACCTTAACTGGGATAGGTCTGAGTAAAACATTCCTCTCTTTGTCCTAATTCCACATCAATCTTCTCATGACTTATTTGGTTTCCCAGGTACCCTGATACCAGCAAACAGTGTGCCCTGGAGAAGAAATGAAAGTATTCTGGTGAGTGGCAAGTATTAAGCTCCACTATAAATTAATAACTTTGCATTGTGATATGTATCTCAATCTTGTAATTTTAATCAATCTATAACCAAGAAACGGATCATCTTGAGGAAATTAATAAAGTCAAATTTTGGAATCAGCAAGGCCAAGACTCAAAGCCTGCACTTGAATCGGTTTAGTGAGGCAGTTCATTTGAAGCCTGTTGTGGCCAACTCAACCCATTACCATCACCTCCCACACTCTCGTTTAAGTCCAGCAGAGAACAGGATTCATTTTTTCATAACAGTGCAGAGACATATTTAGGACTTCCAAGGGCTGACTCAATCAATTCGTAAGCTGAAATAAGAATTCCTTCCACAAAGGCGCAAGATGGCGGAGGAGTGGGGGACTCCGTTTCAACCGGTCCCCTGAAGTTAGCTAGATATCTACCAAACCATTCTGAACACCCACGAAATCAGCCTGAGATGTAAGATTATGCGTCTGGATCTCTATAGGGGCAGGGGATCATCATTTGAGAGGTACAAAGGCCGCTGGAAACTAATACCCCAATGCAAAAGCATTGTGTGCCTGGAGACCAGCGATAGCTTGCAGAGCGTTATGGGCTGGACTGGAAGGGCCTGATAACAGCACTCCAACAGAACACAGGGGCTTAAGGGGGGAAAGCCGAGACCCAGGCATCCCCTCACGCGGACCTGAGCCTGCAGACCTGGGGGGCCCACCACCACCACTGCCCGCACCAGTGCCGGCCCAGACCCGGATCGCTCGCGGTTTGGGAGGCACAGGGGGCAGAGACAAGCAGGGGCCTGGGTCCACTGCGGGGGGGATCGCTGGGGGCGTGTACCACCTGTGGGAGGCTGCGGTTTTCAGGGGCGCTTACAGAGGGGGAGACTGTGTGTTCTGGAGGATTCAGAGAGGAGCTGACTGTGGCTTCTCTTCTTTGGGGTAGAGGTCTGCGTGCAGACATTTTCCTTTGCTCTGACCCTCCCAAAAGGCGGAAAAGCCACCAGAGAACAAAAGCCCAAAAAACCGGTTTCCACGGAGTCAGCCCCTTCATAAGGGGGCAGGGCAACTCTGCCCCAGCAGGATTGGCTGAAAAACAACGTGGCAGGCCCCTCCCCCAGAAGACAAGCGGGAAGAACAAGAGGACAACCCGAGGGTCCCCATAAAACTGTAAAACCCCCACACCAGGGGAAAGAGTATATTGAGCTCCTGGTGTTGCCTCATGGCCTGTATATTTCTTAGATACAACTTTTTTTTTAATTCTTTCTCATGTTTCTTCTCTGTTTTTTCTTTTTACCTACTTATTTCAACTAGATGTTTAGTACAACATATTCCATCGTAACTTTTTAACTTGTACTTTTTCACACATACACTTTTTTCTTTTTATATACATATATAGAGATATACGCTTTAATGTAGGCCTTTTTTCCCTACTCAATACTACCTTTATATATATACCAGTTTTAATCTCCCTGTAACTCTGGGAAGTAGTGCTCTCTAACAAAGAAAACAAAATACACCTAGGAAGAACTGAAACACCCTACCTCGCCCACATTGAGAGATTATAGCCCTACCTTCCTCCCCGCCCCCCCCCTTTTTTTGAACTTTATAAATCTTATTCTTGGGTTTCATTTTGGCTGGGTTTTTTTGGTGGTGGCTTCTGATAGCTCCACACTTTCCAGGGTGCACCTTGCCTGGATTGTGGTTGATATTTTTGACTCTGTACACCCCCTCAACAACCACTCAACAGAATGACTAGGAGGAGGAACTCCCAACAAAGAAAAGAACCAGAGACAATGGCTTCTCCCGCAGACCTAATGGATATGGATATAAGCAAGATGTCTGAAACAGACTTCAGGGTAACAATTATGAAGACAATAGCTAGGCTTGAGAAAACCATTAACAGCAACATAGAATCTCTAAGGGCAGAAATGAGAGCCAATCAGGCTGAACTTAAAAATGCTATGAATGAGCTGCAGTCTAAATTAGATACTCTAACAGCTAGGATAAATGAGGCAGAAGAACGAATTAGTGATCTAGAATATAAACTGATAGAAAGGAAAGAACGAACAGGAGGAAGCCTGGAACAAGCAGCTTAGAATCCATGAGCACAGACTTAGAGAAATCAACAATGCCATGAAACGTTCCAATGTCAGAATTATTGGGATCCCTGAGGGGGTGGAGAAAGAGAGAGGACTAGAAGATATATTTGAGCAAATTGTAGCTGAGAACTTCCCTAATCTGGGGAATGGAACAAGCATTTGTGTCCTAGAGGCAGAGAGGACCCCTCCCAAGATCAAGGGGAACAGACCAACGCCTTGGCATGTAATAGTAAAATTCACAAATCTTAGAACCAAGGAAACCATCCTAAGGGCAGTTAGGGGGAAGAGATTCCTTAAGTACAGAGGGAGGAACATCAGAATAACATCAGACCTGTCCACAGAGACCTGACAAGCCAGAAAGGGCTTAGGGTACTAAATGAGAAGAACATGCAGTCAAGAATACTTTACCCGCCAAGGCTGTCATTCAGAACGGATGGAGAGATAAAGATAAAGAGCTTCCAGGACTGGCAGAAACTGAGAGAATATGTGACTACCAAGCTGGCCCTGCAAGAAATACTAAGGGGGATTCTATAAAAGAAGAAAGACCCCAAGAGTTATATGGACCAGAAATTTACAGAGACAATCCATAGAAATAGGGACTGTACAGACAATAGGATAGCAAGAAACACATGTCTTTCAGTAGTAACCCTCAATGTGAATAGCCTAAATGCCCCCATGAAATGGCACAGGGTTGCAGATTGGATACAAAGACATGACCCATCCATATGCTCTCTATAAGAGACTCATTTTGAACATAAAGACACCTCCAGACTGAAAGTGAGGGCATTTTTTTCATGCCAATGGACTTCAAAAGAAAGCTGGGGTAGCAATTCTTATATCAGACAAACTAGAATTTAACCCAAAGACTGTAATAACAGATCAAGAGGGACACTATATCATTCTTAAAGGGTCTATCCAACAAGAAAAATCTAACAATTGTAAATATCTATGCCCCCAACATGGGAGAAGCCAACTACATAGGCTGGCTGTTAACCAAAATAAAGCATCAGATTGACAATAATACATTAATAGTAGGAGATTGAGATTTTAACACTCCACTCTCAGCACTGGACAGATCATCCAAACAGGAGATCAACAAAGAAACAAGAGCTTTGAATGTCACATTGGACCAGATGGACTTCGTAGATATACACAGAAAATTCCATGCTAAAACAACAGAATACTCATTCTTCTCAAATGCACACGGAGCTTTCCCCAAAATTGATGACATACTGGGTCACAAATCAGGTCTCAGCCAATGCCAAAAGATTGAGATTATTCCCTGCATGATATCAGACCACAATGCCTTAAAACTGGAACTCAATCACAAGAAATATTTGGAAGGAATTCAAATATTTGGAAGTTAAAGAGCATCCTGCTTAAGAATGAATGGGTCAACCAGGAAATTAAAGAAGAACTTAAACAATTCATGGAAACCAACGAGAACAAAAACACATCAGTCCAAAACCTATACTGCAAAGGCAATCCTAAGGGGGAAATACATAGCCATCCAAGCCTCTCTCAAAAAATTAGAAAAATCCCAAATGCACAAGCTAACCCTACACCTAAAGGAGCTGGAGAAAGAACAGCAAATAAAACCTAAACCAAGCAGGAGAAGAGAAATAATAAAGATTAGAGCAGAGATCGATGAAATAGAAACCAGAAAAACAGCAGAACAGATCAATGAAACTAGAAGCTGGTTCTTTGAAAGAATTAATAAGATCAATAAACCACTGGCCAAACTTATCCAAAAGAAAAGAGAAAGGACCTAAATTAATAAAATCATGAATCACGACTAACACCAAGGAAATAGAAACAATTGTTAGAAATTATTACCAGCAACTGTATGACAACAAATTAAGCAACCTGGAAGAAATGGATGTCTTCCTGGAAACTTACAAACTACCAAGACTGAAACAGGAAGAAAGAGACAATCTGAATAGACCAATAACCAGTAATGAAATTGAAGCAGTAAACAAAAATCTCCCAAAAAACAAAAGTCCAGGGCCAGATGGCTTCCCAGGGGAATTCTACCAAACATTTAAAGAAGAAATAATACCAGTGAGGGTGAGATGTGCATCGGTCCTGGGCATCGGGAATAAAACTTGCTGCCGAGAAGGACATTTTGGAAGCTTTGTTGACTGGAAGAGGTGTCTCTGGGATTCCCAATCCTAGATCTTTGTTTAGGGCCATGAGGACACAGAAGGTCACAGCACCTCTGATCTTTGCCATCTCCATTGCTACAATAGGCTCTTTCCAGTTTGGCTACAACACCGGAGTCATCAATGCTCCTGAGATGATCATAAAGGACTTTCTCAATTACACCCAGGAGGAGACGTTGAATGACCGTCCCACTGAGGTGTTACTCACTTCCCTCTGGTCCTTGTCTGTGGCCATCTTCTCCGTTGGTGGTATGATTGGCTCCTTCTCCGTTGGACTCTTTGTCAACCGCTTTGGCAGGCGCAATTCAATGCTCATTGTCAACCTCTTGGCTGTCGCTGGTGGCTGCCTTATGGGGTTCTGCAAAATAGCCTGGTCGGTTGGAATGCTGATCCTGGGCCGGTTGGTTATTGGCCTCTTCTGCGGCCTCTGCACAGGTTTTGTGCCCATGTACACTGGCGAAGTCTCTCCCACTGCCCTACGGGGGGCCTTTGGCACTCTCAACCAGCTGGGCATCGTCATCAGGATCCTGGTGGCTCAGATCTTTGGTCTGAAAGTCATCATGGGGACTGAAGAGCTTTGGTCCCTGCTTTTGGGCTTCACCATCATTCCAGCTGTCCTGCAAAGCGCAGCCCTTCCGTTTTGCCCCGAGAGTCCTAGATTTTTGCTCATCAACAGAAAGGAAGAGGAGAGTGCTAGGGAGATCCTCCAGCGATTGTGGGGCACCCAGGACGTGACTCAGGACATCCAGGAGATGAAAGATGAGAGCACAAGGATGGCACAAGAGAAGCAAGCCACGGTGCTGGAGCTCTTCAGGTCACGCAGCTACCAGCAGCCCATTATGATTTCCATCATGCTCCAGCTGTCCCAGCAGCTGTCTGGAATCAATGCTGTGTTCTATTATTCAACAGGAATCTTCAAAGATGCAGGTGTTCAGGAGCAAATCTATGCCACCATCGGCGAGGGTGTAGTTAATACCATCTTCACTGTTGTCTCTCTGTTTCTGGTAGAAAGGGCAGGGAGGAGGACTCTACATATGACTGGCCTTGGAGGGATGGCTGTTTGTTCCATCTCTATGACCATCTCATTGTTACTAAAGGATGACTATAATTGGATGAGCTTTGTTTGTATCGGGGCTATCTTGGTCTTTGTGGCCTTCTTTGAAATTGGCCCAGGCCCCATTCCCTGGTTTATCATGGCCAAACTCTTCAGCCAAGGACCCCGCCCAGCCGCGATGGCAGTGGCTGGTTGTTCCAACTGGACCTCCAACTTCCTGGTTGGGCTCCTCTTCCCTTCAGCTGCATTCTATTTAGGAGCCTATGTTTTTATCATATTCACTGGCTTCCTCATTCTCTTCTTGGTCTTCACCTTCTTCAAAGTCCGAGACTCATGGCAGGACTTTTGAGGAAATCACATGAGCCTTCGAGGGGCAGGCTCGGGAGGCTAACAGAGCTGAGAAAGGCCCCATCGTGGAGATGAACAGCATCCAGCCCATGAAGGAAACTGCCACCGTCTAAGCCATGCCTCCTTCCCGCCTCCCTCCCAACATGGAAAAGCAACCTCTCCCCAGATGAGGAGGAGACCTCATCAGCTTGTAACCCAGGACTGTTTCTGAATGCTGCTACTTGATTCCTTTCTCTTCCCACACACTCCATGAGCACTCAGAGGAACCCAGTGCAGGAGTTAGTTGTATCTTCAATGGCTTTCGAAAAATTTCATTTCTTGGACATTCTCTTCTATTTAGGAGAGACCAAGCAAACCTACCTTCATTTCAGGAGGAATTGGCCACTTGCCATCTGACAGCATTGTCATCTCTTCCTCCCTTGGGTTCTAATAGGGCCTCACCAGGGCCAATAGGGGAGGAGAGTAAGAGTGAGGTGCAGTTTCCCCGACCCCAGACTTCCCAGGAAGCAGATCTATATGAGTGTGGAGGGCAGAGAGGGATTAAATAAGAGCACCATCCTTGCTTCCATACAGCTCTGCGGAGCAAATTAACTTGAGTTTTATTTATTTTATCTTCTGGTTTTATTGCATAAATATTTATTTTTTTAAGTGTAAAATAATTTTACCAAATAATGAAAACAGAAGGAAATTGAGGATAGAGGGAGGCACTTGAAGAGAGGTTCTAGGGTAGAAGATTTGATACTGGAGAGGTCGAGGTGCAATAAGGGGAAGATTCAGGGAGAAGTATAACGTGTTCTCAGAGGGTACATGATGGGGTGTGTGAACTTTGCACGTTGCCTCTTAACCTTCAGGTGGAAACTCTCAAGTTTAATTTCTCAGAAAAGTGATGTGCCTGTATTAAGAAGCTACTGGTTACCTTTAGAACTTTTTTCTTTGTTTAAAATTATATGTAGTGTTACTTGAAATCTAGGGTTATTAAGATGGGCATTATAGCTAATGGTGGTGGATGGGTTCTAATTTTGGTTGGAGTCCAGAGAAGGGAAGGTTATTTCTAGATATCCTTTCTCCCCTCACTGGACAAAACAACTTCTTCCCCTTATAGTGGACTCACTGTGGGGGGTGGGGGTTAAAGTATTCCTAATACCCGCCTGGTGGGAGAACCTTCCAAATTAGGAACCCAAAATAGTGGTTCTTGGTAGAGGTTTTGTATTTCTCCATTTTGTTCTTTAGGAGATTTTAGTTGTTATTTTGTTTTAAGCCATAGCTTTAAAAGAATTCAGAGGAGAATGTTCATAAACTAACTTGGAATTTGTAACCTCAGCTCTGGGAGAGGATTTTTCCTGAACGATTATTATCTAGTTGAAGTATGTTGTTGCTAAGGGTCATCGCATGCTTGTTCTGTTGCCATATTCGCATAGTATGATGTCAAGTGCCCTTAGGGGACCATACATTTGGGATAATATGAGTAAATGTGCAGTGTAGCCCACACTTGAGAGAGTATGAATGTATGTGCACTGTCACTTTGCTCTGGTGGAAGTAGATGGCTGGTAACTTGTGTCCTTTATGTACCTACAGCCCCCTTTTGAATAGAATGTGTTCAAACTCATCTCTCTATATATAAAGAACACTGTCTCTGCTGGGTGGAATTTGCATCTACGGTTTCATTCCAGACTTCAGAGTTCAGATGCATCTGGCTACCTTTCCTTGTTGGACAACTGGGGGGAGAACTCCTTAAATCGTGAGATTGAGGGTGGAGGACTCTGCCTCCCCCTAGACCCAGACAATGGCAGTATGAAAGGAAAATGTGAGATCAGAACATGTGGCCTCTTGGAGGGAAGTCATAGGGGAGAAGGAGCCTTTCTTTTAAGGGGTGAGAAACAAACTGAAGACTTCTAACTCTGGAGCATTTTAGAGAGCCAGATGAGGTGGAGGGATGTACACTTGCCCCAGGTCATGGACACCTGTACAATCATCTAGTTTCCCAGTATTTTTATAAATGGAGATTGAGCCCCATGACACCTACTCTGTCTTCCTTCTTTCATATGTTGCTTGATCACCCTTTCTCTCCTTGGTGCTTACATACTTCAGACGCTTTAGCCAAACCCTTGCCTATGACAGTATTTTAGTCACCAGTTCTCACTGTTCCCCCTGGTCATTGAGCGTTTTTGGGGAAAAAAAACAGCTTATATGGAATGGGGCTTGGTTCAACAGGTGACTTTAACTGCACCTCTACTTCCGGCTCCTCAAAACCAGTGGGTTGGCAGTAATGCTGTGTGGAAGTTTTCCCATTTCTCAGTGACCAGATTGTGAATATTTCCAAATGGGTTTTCTATTATTAATGTTACTGTGGTTCTTTGTTTTGAAATAAAAATTCTGAATGTACATATGAAAAAAGAAAAAATGTACATATGAAAAAAGAAAAAAAAAGAAATAATACCTATTCTACCAAAGCTGTTCCAAAAAATAGAAACAGAAGGAAAACTTCCAAACTCCTTCTATGAGGTCAGCATTACCCTGTTCCCAAAACCATGCAAAGATGCCATCAAAAAGGAGAATTACAGACCAATATTCCTGACGAACATGGATACCAAAATACTCAACAAGATCCTAGCTGATAGGATCCAACAGTACATTAAAAGGATTATTCACCACGACCAAGTGGGTTTTATGCCTGGGATGCAAGGGTGGTCCAACATTCATAAATCAATCAATGTGGTAGAGCACATCAATAAAAGAAAAGCCGAGAACCATATGATCCTCTCAATTGATGCAGAAAAAGCATTTGACAAAATACAACATCCGTCCCTGATTAAAACTCTTCAGACTATAAGGATAGAGGGAACATTCCTTGATATCATAAAAACCATCTATGAAAAGACCACAACGGATATCATTATCAATGGGGAAAAGCTCTCCTTTTCCCTTAAGATCAGGAACATGACCAGGATGCCCATTCTCACCACTATTGTTTAACACAGTACTAGAAGTCCTAGCCTCAGCAATCAGACAATAAAAAGAAATAAAAGGCATTCAAATTGGCAAAGAAGAAGTCAAACTCTCCCTCTTCACTGATGACATGATACTTTGTGTGGAAAACCCAAAAGACTCCACCCCCAAATTACTAGAACTCATACAGCAATTCAATAATGTGGCAGGATACAAAAGCAATGCACAGAAATCAGTTGCTTTTCTATACACTAACAACGTAACTGTAGAAAGAGAAATTAAGGAATCAATTCTATTCACAATAGCAACAAAAACCATAAGATACCTAGAAATAAACGTAACTAAAGAGGTAAAGCATCTATATTCTAGGAACTACAGAACATTTATGAAAGAAATTGAGGAAGACACAAAAAGATGGAAAAATATTCCATGCTCAAGGATTGGAAGAATAAACATGGTTAAAATGTCTATCCTGCCCAGAGCAATTTACACTTTCAATTCTATCCCTATTAAAATACCATTGGCATTTTTCAAAGAGCTGAAACAAAAAATCCTAAAATTTGTATGGAACCAGAAAAGACCCCGAATCACCAAGGGAATGATGAAAAAGAAAAACAAAGCTGGGGCATCACATTGCCTAACTTCAAGCTATATTACAAAGCTGTGATCACCAAGACAGCATGGTATTGGCACAAAAACAGACACATAGACTAATGGAACAGAATAGAGACTCCAGAAATAGACCCTCAACTCTATGGTCAACTAATCTTTGACAAATCAGGAAAAAATATCCAATGGAAAAAAGACAGTCCCTTCAATAAGTGATGCTGGGAAAATTGGACAGCTACATATAGAAAAATGAAACTGGACCATTCCCTTACACCATACACAAAGATAAACTCAAAATGGATGAAAGACCTCAATGTGAGACAGGACTCCATCAAAATCCTAGAGGAAGACGTAGGCAGTAACCTCTTTGACATTGGCCACAGGAACTTCTTTTAAGACACGTCTCCAAAGGCAAGTGAAACAAAAGCAAAAATGAACTTTTGGGACTTCGTCAAGATAAAAAGCTTCTGCACAACAAAGGAAACAGTCAACAAAACTAAGAGGCAGCCCACGGAATAGAAGATATTTGCAAATGCCATTACAGATAAAGGGCTGATATCCAAGATCTATAAAGAACTTCTCAAACTCAACACTAAAAAAACTAATAACCCAGTCAAAAAATGGGCAGAAGACATGAAGAGACACTTCTCCACAAAAGACATACAAATGGCTAACAGACACATGAAAAAATGTTCAACATCACTAGCCATCTGGAAAATACAAATCAGAACCACAATGAGATACCACCATACACCAGTTAGAATGGCAAAAATTAACAAAACAGGAAACAACAAATGTTGGCGAGGATGTGGAGAAAGGGTACCCTCTTACACTGTTGGTGGGAATGCAAGCTGGTACAGCCACTCTGGAAAACAGTGTGGACGTTCCTCAAGATGTTAAGAATAGAGCTACAACCTACAACCCAGCAATTGCACTACTAGGTATTTACTCCAAAGATACAGACGTAGTGAAAAGAAGGGACACGTGAACCCCAATGTTCATAGCAGCAATGTCCACAATAGCCAAACTGTGGAAGGAGCCAAGATGCCCTTCAACAGATGAATGGATAAAGATGTGGTACATATATACAATGGAATATTATTCAGCCATCAGAAACAAAATACCCACCATTTGCATCGACATGGATAGAACTGGAGGGGATTATGTTAAGTTAAGTAAGTCAAGCAGAGAAAGACAATTATCATATGGTTTCACTCATATGTGGAACATAAGCAATAGCACGGAGGACCATAGGGGAAGGGAGGGAAATCCAAAGGGGAAGAAATCAGAGAGTGAGATGAACCATGAGAGACTATGGACACTGGAGAAACAATCTGGGGGTTTCAGAGGGGAGGAGGGTGGGGGGAGGGGATGACAGGGTGATAGGTACTGAGGAGGGCACGTGCTGTGATGAGCACTGGGTGTTATACTTAACTAATGAATCACTGAACACTACATCAAAAACTAATTATGTACTATACAGTGGCTAACTGAACATAAAAAAAAAAGAATTGCTTTGACAAGTATGAAATAATGGATTTAATCTTTAAAATTCTTCCTCTCAAATGTTTTTCAATCAGAAGATAAAAAGAAAATTTGTCCAGTGCTGATTTTTTCTTAGTACTGACTTCCTTATAACAGCCAAAAATATCAAGAATAAAAATGAACCAACAATGTTTATGTTTACAAATAAAGTAGCCAGAGAAGAAATAGGTTATCATGCTATCATTATTCCATCCAGAATCTGATAGAAGGAACTATGAAGAAATTAGAAAACCAACGTTCCATTTTGCTTAAAAAAGAGAAACTATGATCATTTGCTGTAACAGCAATTTTAAATGCAGTGATTTTTGTTTTAGTGTATAAAACATTTTCAAGCTCAGCTTTTCAAAAAATTATTTAAATAGAAAAAGGTTAACACAAGCAGCTACAACTGGCCAAATGTTTTATAATGTTACCATGGTATATCCAAACCCCAAAAAAGAAGTTTCAAGTTAAGATTCAAGGGAGAGTAGTGGGAAATGTAAATGGAATTCTGTGGATATTAAGGATTTTAAATTATTAAAGAACTTTACCAAAATGATTATTTAACTTATAAATTTTGTAATAGGTAAAGAAAAAATGTTTTAACAATTATTTGATATGTCTTTCCTTCTAGGAAAAGACAAATTTCTCTTTACAAGCCAGGTATTATCTTACAATTAAGTGATTTTGGTAATGATAACAATTTGATATTTCACTTTTAAATTAATCCCAAATGTTGTCCCACTATTTCATCAACTCCACAGCTGATGCCTACTGAGGGAAGCACCTTTATGATGTTTGGTGTGAACCCCTGAAAAATCCCCTTTTTCCTTCGTTGTTAAATATCTCTTGAATGAGATGAATCATAGAAGTTGTTGTTCCTTTTTCTTCCAGTGCTATAAATTGAAAAAAAATCAGTGTAATTCAATATTTAATCTTTGTACATTAAGACAGTCCAATGATTAATGAGAATTACGGAGGCTAAAATTACTTTAGAATATTCCTCTCTCCCTACTTATAGAATGGTCTTGTGCTGTCCAATATAGTAGCCAGTAGACACCTGTGTCTATTTAAATTTAAAATAAGTAAAATTAAGTAAAACTAAAAATTCAGTTTCTTAGTTGAATTAGCAACATTTCAAGTGTCTGATAGCCATGTGTCACTATTGGCTACCATACTGGACAACACAGATATAAAATATTTCCATCATTTCAAGTTCTACTGGACAATACTTGAAAGTCTTTCATAAGGGACCTCAAAGGATCATTTGGAATTGAGTATGACACAAATACTTTGATAGGGCAATTAATGGGTGATGGGATAGATACAGAGATGCCCCACCTGGATTGCAATATAAATTAAATCTGAAAATCTTACTAAAAAGAGGAGAAAATGTAAAAGAATATCACCACATGACTCCTTAAATAATTTACTGAGGAAGATAACAATAGAATTATGTAAGGTTTTTTTTTCCTCTTCTTGAAAAGTGATAAAGGGGGGCGCCTGAGTGGCTCAGTCATTAAGCGTCTGCCTTCGGCTCAGGTCATGATCCCGGCGTCCTGGGATCGAGCTCCGCGTCGGGCTCCCTGCTCTGCGGGAAGCCTGCTTCTCCCTCCCTCTCCCACTCCTCCTGCTTGTGTTCCCTCTCTCGCTGTGTCTCTCTGTCAAATAAATAAATAAAATCTTTAAAAAAAAAAAAGAAAAAGAAAAAGTGATAAAGGTATTTTCTTAAAATCTAAATTTCTAACATTTCACTTGAGAGAACAAAACAGATACCCTCCCTTCTGCTTAATATCTCCTTGCTAGGGGGATTGCAATACAAATCCAATTCCACAAATGTATTAAGTTCCTGATGCAGAATATAACAACGAGAGCAGAACTAGGGGCGAAACTGCATGTTCATACTGAGTAACTGTTGACTTAATTTGAAGAAAGCAAAATCCTTTCTATTGCTCGTCATGGTACTTCCTAATTATAAACTCCTTAAAGAGATCATTAGTAACTGAAGGAAATGTGGAAAGTCCCAAACAGAACTTTGGAGAAGAAATAAAATCTAAAATTAATAAAAGGCTCTATAATAAAACAATAAATTCAAGATGCATGCCTTAAAAATCAGAGTCTGCTTTTGATTTATCAATTCTCCAGTTTTTCTGGTATTTTTTTACAACCTTAATTTCTACTTATTTAAAACAATCTAGTTATTTTAAAATGTTTTTAACTTAATTTTTATTAGTACTTCATTAAAGTTATTCTTAATCACTTTTTAACTGATTACGTCATTAAAAAAATAAAATAAAAAAACTCACCTTGAACCTGCATGCAAGTTCTAATAAGGGTCAGAGGGAAGGTGGCTATCTGAGCACACGTGTGAGACAATGTACTACATCCCAGCAAAATTATTATCCCAGGGTCTATAGACTCTGCCACGTGATGTTCTAGCCAATAATTCTTCAACAGCTGGCAGAGAAGATAGTCGTAAGTATCCTTTAAACACTATGCAAGTCTAAGTAGACTGAAGTTCACTGCTCATTCAATTTCAATAAACGTATTGAGTAGCTTCTTGATTCAAGAATTACACTGAGCATTGTCATAGACGTTCTCTCACTTAATCCCTACAAAAACTTCACAAATCCATACTGTCATCTCCATTTTATAAATTTTATAAATGAGGAACTAATTCAGAGAAACTAAGTTATCAAGTCACAACGCTGATAAATAAGAGTCAAGCTTAATGGCTTGGTTTTAGTAACTGTTCTTTCCAAAACTTTACAGAGGATTGGTCCTACTCCATGTACAGAGGAGGTTATCCACCTACTGTCCTATCAGGGACAGGGCACACAGATGTTTTCTCCAAAAAATGTATTCAGACGGGGCACCTGGGTGGCTCAGTTGTTAAGCATCTGCCTTTGGCTCAGGTCATGGTCCCAGGGTCCTGGGATCAAGTCCTGCATCGCCCTGCATCAGGCTCCCTGCTCAGTGGGGAGACTGCTTCTCCCTCTCACACTCCCCCTACTTGTGCTCTCTCTCTCTCTCACTGTGTCTCTCTCTGTCAAATAAATAAATAAAATCTTTAAAAAAAATGTATTCAGACAACCTCAGTTTGAGTTCTCCTATGTTTTGCATCTCTTGGTGTGCTTTTGTTTAGTTTGGTTTTGTTTGTTCTATTTTGCCTAGTTGTTTTGGTTTGTAATGACATTCAAAGACCCAAGCAAAATTCTGGAGATTCTCAAAGGGATTAACAGAATAATGTAGAGAAGACTCCATAATCCACTCTAGGTTAACAAAACCACATTTTCTGAACTTTTAAGAGAGATTCATCTTTCCAAATTTGCTTTTCCTTGAATAAAAGTGGCTAGAGGAAATTATTTTAAAATAGTGGGTTTAAAAGATCACTAAGTGCTTTTAGAACTGTTCATTTATCAAAGGATACAGCTTTACCATTATATATTGAGGTAATTACTGTGAAATATATAATTTGATGCTTTTGAAAAAATATATTTCAAAATGTCTTTACTCAGTGCACTTATTAGTGATGCAACAACAAAAAAAGAGAAATGTGTAACATCACTCTTACTCTGGTAAGAAAGCAAAAGATACTGAACTGCAGAAATAAAAGAATGGAGGGAGCCCAACATAAACAGCAGCAATGAATTTATTTTAATAAGACCACAGAAGCAGGCAAAAAAGGAGAAAAGAAATACATACTATATTGTTCAATACTTTAAACATCTATAAAAGATATATGCATTTTTCGTGCTAAACAAAATTGGCTATCTTTCATAGGATTGTGGTACCACTTGCCAAAAATACCATTGGACCTGTGGCTGGAGAGCTGTCCTTCTTGCACTGAGAATGAGTTTAAGTGATACTAGTCACATACTCTCACCTGGTTCTTTATGACCAAATGGTATATATTGTTACAATAGTCTGCCTAAAACATATGTATGATCATAAAAATGAAATGATTGGCGAGAAGGGGAATAACTTGGAATCCTGCCTGATCAACAAGCCCTACACTATTAGGATATTTGCCCTATCTCCATGCTGCCTCTCCCCCAGTAGCCCCCAAGGACTCCTCCACTCAATTCTCATTTTCACAACTGGGCCATAACATCTCAGCTTTCTCAATCTTAACTGTACATCAGATTTTTCTAGAGAGTAAAAAACCTAAATCCCAGGCCTCCTCCCAGAATAATCAAATCAGAATCTCTTGGGTGTATCCCAAGAATCTCTTTTTTTTTTTTAAGATTTATTTATTTATTATTTTAGAGAGAGAGAGAGAGTGAGCATGCATGCGGCGGGGGGGGAGGGGGGAAGAGGGAGAGGAAGCCCAAGTCTTATTTTTTAAAGATCTACATACAGGTGATTCTGATACCCATCCAGAGTTGAGAACCACTATATCAGCATATAAGTTTATAAATATTATCAGTAAAACCTAATTCACAGAAAACACCAAACAAAAAGTTATTATTAGAATATTAGACAACTAAGATATAAAATGAAAAGCCAAATAAAACCATTCAACTCAACCAAACTTCTTGGTCAGAAACTACTTCATGTAAAATCATTTACAACTAGATTTTTAGAATGAAGACTATTATACCAAATTTTCAAATCTAACACATAATGTCATATTATGAGAATAAACTCACCTCATAAACAGCAAAATCTATGCCTGCATAAGGTAGAATACCTAGCAAGTTAGGAATATAACCTTTGAAAAAGGTTCTAACACCTTCTTGTTTCAGAAGCTTCTTGCCACAATCAATGAACCCTGAATACTCTCCAGTTTTACCTAGAGCCAGTCTGGTCTTTAGAACCTAAATGTGAAGAATATTATAAAAATATATTGATCAGATTCACTCAACTCATCTAGGAATACACTAAACTCCATTATATACAATGCTTACTAATTACCATAGAAATCAAAAAAGAAAGCAATCTTAAATATAATTTTAGCTTCTCCCTAATTGGCTTTTAACTATGAACAGCTAACACAGTACAGTTTTTACAAATTATTTAAACAAGAAAATGTAATTAATCACTGTGGTTTTGATTGATAACATCTGCTCAAACTCATTTAATGTGCTATAAGGCAACATATTCTAAAACAAACTCATTTGAAATAACATTATTGCTTCAAAATAAAGCAACTACAGCCAAATTCCAAGTTAAAAAATATATATATATATACATATGGTCATGTTAAAGTGAACAAGCAATATGAAAAATAACATTCTGTATATACTTAAAATACATACTGTGGGAACTATTGTAACAGTGAGGCGGAATAACTATAATCATTTAATATGATGAAACATGCTCTTAAAATAGTAACATAACAGGAGCTATGAAGGCAATAGTAGACTTCAGTAGTCTGTCTGTGATCAACATTCCCGTGCAATTCTCCTAATAGAAACTCACTCCTTGTCCTCTTAATTTCCATTAATTTAACTTAAGGGAGTCCTATAAATACTTGGAGAAATGGCTCTCCAAAACAGCCAAGACCAAAAAAAAAAAAAGCATGAACTTTTTCTTGATTGGGCAAACTGTGTATCTTGATGGAGCTGCCTCTGAGTCATCAGTTGGAAGGCTTTGTTTTAAGAACTTCTGTGCAGCACCCCACACTTTGGATAATCCCATTCTCAAAACTCTCTGCCCTCCACAGGGTAGTGTCCTCAACTCCCTTCTTACCCAAGTAAATCTTTTCTGTCTGCTTCCCTGGCAGGTTTTTTTCCCACTTACTCCCTAAATTAAGGTCTTCTCAAAAATTTTCTTCTCAGTATTAAAAAACAAAACAAGCAAACAAACAAACAAAAAAACACTACTTTTTTTTCTAAGTAATCTCATGACTTTAGCACTTCTTTGCAGATGACACATCAAGACTTGAAACCTCTCAAATCGCAGTATCACATTTGCAACTGCCTGCTGAAAATCGTAACTTGGTTGTCCACCAACAAGTCAAATTAAATACGTACAAACCTGAACTCCTCATCTTCTTACAGTCTGGGCCACTCCCACCACTCTCGAACTCTGTTAGAGAAGTAACTCTGACGTAACTCTCCTCAACACTCAGGCACACAACCCAGACAGAGCTTCACCTCCTTCCTTTCCCTCTCTCCCACTTTCCACTTCTCAGGCTGTCAGTTCTCAAGACAGCTTTAAAGGAGTCATATGCCTCTAGTCAGTGTCAATGTTTCAAGCCTTTACTATCACTTCCCTGAATGACGGCAATCTCTTGTATGTAGTCATCTCATTTCTCTAGTCCCTCTCACTCTAAAAGACTTTACCGAGATTATATTTCAGGTTCCAAAGAGTTTAACGGCTTCTTATTTTTTTAAGAAATTGAAATTATATTTCTTACACTGCATTCAAGAGCCTTTCTGATCTGGCCCCAACTCATTATCCATGGTATTATCCAGTCCAAACCTAAATATCTGCTCTTTTGCCTCCATTCCTTTGCTTAAGTCACTATTTCCACCTAAAATGCCTTTCTTCATTATCTCTAAATGTCCAAAATCTAAGCCAAACTCACATATTCTATTCATGTCTTTCATGAAACCCCTAACTGGCAATAATTTCTCCCCTCTGAATTTCCATAGCACTTCATATTGACCTCTCTTCTAGAATTTATATTTTCTATTTTGGATCATCATTATTGATGTACATGTTTTATCTCTCCATCTGAACTATAAGTTTCATGACCAAAATGCCTATCTGATTTGTCTCTGCATCTAAAAAATACCTTAAACTTAGTGGTTGTGCAATACAGATTTGATTTGATTAATGATTAAGTGATTCTATCAATTAAGCAAGCAAGCAATGACTTTTTTATCTTCTTGATACATCTACAATACTACTTTGATCCTAAATAAACAAATAAACAAAAGAAAATTTACTAGGGCCAAATAACTCTTGGTATAAGATTTAAATCCTGTAGCTATAAAGCTGTTTATTGTACAAAATCCTGATCTCCTTTCATTTACTTTAAAAGTTATAATTTGTGGGGCACCTGGGTGGCTCAGTAAGTTGGGCATCCAACTCTTGATTTTGGCTCAGGTCATGATCTCAGGGTTGTGAGATTGAGCCCGGAGTGAAGTCCAGATCAGCAGGGAATCTGCTTCTCTCCTTCTCCCTCTCCCTCTGCCCTTCCCCCTGCTACCCCCAACCCTGGCTTGCACACACACACTCTCTCACTCTCTCTCAAATAAATATTTTTACAAAGTTATACTTTGTATTGAAAGCATTACTTTACTTAAAATTTTATAATAATACATACCTCCATGGGATAAATACAGGTCTGGGCAGTTGCACCAGCAAATGAGCCAGATATAAATCTCTCAATAATTCCTACATTAGCACCATCAAAACTAAGCCATTTCTTACACTGTACAAATAAAAGTATTGAAATGTATATTACTGAAATAGAATATTTTTAGAAAAATATTATTTTTTCTAAGTTTATAACATTAATTAGTAGTATAACATTATTTGAAAAAGTATTCCAGATACCTGACATTAACATCTAGAGGAATACTTGATTTTAATTTTTATGCAATTAGTTGTCTAAGATAGTAAGACTTCTCTATTCGGCCTCCTCTTTCCTTTTTCTACCCCCCCCCCCCCGCAGAATGAGTTAGCAACATTAAATCACTTAAGCATACTCATGAATGTACTATTTCATAAAAAGCATGCAAATGACAAAAAGGAGGCAGGGATTGTGTCTGCTATCTCTTTTTCACGCCCTGCCTTAGAGGAATACTTGATTTTAATTTTTATGCAATTAGTTGTCTAAGATAGTAAGACTTCTCTATTCGGCCTCCTCTTTCCTTTTTCTACACCCCCCCCCCCGCAGAATGAGTTAGCAACATTAAATCACTTAAGCATACTCATGAATGTACTATTTCATAAAAAGCATGCAAATGACAAAAAGGAGGCAGGGATTGTGTCTGCTATCTCTTTTTCACGCCCTGCCTTACATAAGTAACAGTATTTAAAATTATTTGGTTACAGGATAATCAAGAACTTAATATATTTGTTTACAAGATAATCAAGAATAGTCAAAATATGAGAGGCTCTTTCCCTTATAAGGAACAAGGGGTTACTCTGGTTAGCTTAAGTAGCAGGGAGGTTATTGCAATGACACATGTAGAAATAAGGAAACAAATATCAGATAAAGGTCAGGCTTCACAGGAACTAAAGTAAGTCAAGTTTCATGGAGATTGAAATTGGAAACTCACTCAGGATCCAAGAGAGCCTTAGCAAACTATCTTGTTACCTCCTAGGCAAGATGTTTTCCTGTTTGCCTTTTCTAGAGGCCTATCACCAATATAATTCAGCTATTCTCTATAAACTAACTCTAGTTCTCAAATCAGTAATTCCCCATCAAAAAGTGTGATTGATTCAGTTAATATGAGAGACTGCTATACGTTCATGTACCCACTATCTTCTTCCTTTTAGTATCAGAGCTGACACAGCTGCAAACCACATTTCCCTCTTCTTTCTCGCAGCTAGGTTGTGTGGCTAAGTGACTAATTTTGGCCAATGAGATATGAAGGGAAGTTGAGTATGCAAATTCTGACATCTCCTTAAAGAGGCCTGTCCCGGACTCCTCTTTCCTCCATCTGAGGAATGGCAACGATGGAAGCAACCTCTGAAGCCATGTAGCTGTACCGCTAGCACTGGACCACTGGCCTCTATCTCATTTAAGCTACTGTATTTTGGAATCTGTTTGTTTTAACAGCTTAGGATGAACCTCAACAAGAACAGGAAGTGGTTACTAGATGTAGAGTACTACCATAACTAAAACCTAAAATATGTGACACTGGCTTTATTGTTAGGACACAGATATTGCAGTCTGAGAAGATGATGATCTTTTTAATGCTTTGTGAAAATGCTTGATAAAACTGCCTGCTGTGATAATTTGGAAGGTAGATTGTGTGCTTTCTGAGCCTGAAGTTCTAGGAAAACTGATTGTAAAATCTCATAATGTTGGTCAGTGTTGCCCACTCCTTGCTGCTTTTATATTAACATATGACCTAATGCATCTCTCAGCTTTTCAGCCTTAGGGCCTTCTCCAAAGCCAATTTGCAAGCAGAAATGGATGGAAATGGAGCTCTGCTAAGGGAGTTTTCTTAGCCTGGCTTGGTAGTCAAGAATGGTGGGTTTCCAAGTAGGAAAAGCCACCTGTTCTGTACCCCAAAAGGAGGAAATTAGATGTCTTAAAGAGCTTGCCCAGCTGCCAAAATCAGATGTTGTCATCCAATTTCAGCCTATTGTTTCATTTGACATCAATGTAGCCCACTATAAAAATGAGAGAGAAGGGGAATGACTAAGCACAGGAACTGGAAAATAAAACATCAGAGAAGAGATTTTTAGATATGGTTACTCCACATGGTATTGACTGGAAACAGAGAAGAAGTATAAGAAGTTTTGGAAAGAATTGTATGCTAGAAAACTCAAAAGCAAAGCCTACAAAACGCTATGTTCCATTGATCTCTAAAGCAACTCTCAGGCTCCAAATCTAAGCAGGCTTTCTCTGGCCATGGCAGACCCTTCCAGAGCCCCACATCACATCTGGGCAGTTCTGTGCAGACTCACAGACTCACTTCACTGACAGAAACCCATCAAAAGCAAAAGCCTCTCATCTCTCTGCTTTTCTGCCTCAGGGCCTTCTCTGAAGCTGTGAGAGCCTGTCCACCCCAGAAGCCTGGGGAAGTTAAAGTCCTAAGAGCAATCTTCATACAATATGGGACAGAAACTGGCAGATAAGTAGCTCAGCTCTCTTCCTTCAGACAGATAATTCTGGGAACTATTGTGTACACTTCCTAGAAGTTCCCTCAGAATGAAGCCCCTACTGCATATAGCTGAAACCTCACTTATGTACCCCTGTGTTGGCTTTTCTTTCTTCTGTGTCTCACTGTCCCTGCTTCCTCACTCCTGCTTCTTCACAAATAAACTTTGGGGGGAATCCAAAGTAAAACTATTGGTATTACTTCAAAAGTGGTTCTATGCACCAATTAAAAGCCAGAGATTGTCACAGTGGCTCAAAAAACAACACCCAACTGTATGTTATTTACAAGAAACCCGCTTTGGATACTAAGACATGTATAGATTAAATGTAAATGACTGGAGAAAAATATATCACATTAACACCAATCAAAAGAAAGTGTGAGTAGCTATATTAAATTCAGACAGAGCAGACTTCAGACCAAGGAAAGTTACCAGGGATAAAGAAGGCATTACATACTGATAAAGGGGTTAATTATCTAAGAAGATATAACAATCCTTAGCACATATGTGCCTTACAACAGAGCATCAAACTACATGAGGCCAAAACTGATAGAAGTACAAAGAGAAATAGATGAATCCAGGGGCATCTGGGTGGCTCAATCCGTTAAGTGTCTGCATTCGGCTCAGCTCATGAACCAGAAGTCCCAGGATCAAGACCCGCAATTGGGCTCCCCTCTCAGCAGGGAATCTGCTTCTCCCTCTGCCCCTCACCCCACTTGTGCTCTCTTTCTTTCACTCTCTCTCTCTCAAATATATAAATAAAATCTTAAAAAGAAATGGATGAATCCACTATCATAGCTGGAGATTTCAGCATCCTCTATTAGAAATGGACAGATCCAGCAAAAAAAAAAAAAAAAAAAAAATCAGTAATGACATAGCTGAACTCAACACCACCATCAATCAACTGTATATAACTGACATCCACAGACTATTTCATCCAACAATAGCAGAGTACACATTCTTCTCAAGCTCACATGGAACATTCCCCAAGAAAGACCACATTCTGGGCCATAACACACCTTAACAAAGTTAAAGGAATGGAAAGCATACAATGGGTGCTCTGAGACCACAATGGAATAAAATTAGAAATCAGTAACAGAAAGACAATCTTTTAAAATACCAAAATATGTGGAAATTTAAAAACACATTTCTGAATGTCAAAGAAGAAATCTCAAGAGAAATTTAAAAATATTTTGAACTAAATGAAAATGAAGACACAATTTATCAAAAGGAGTGGGAAGTAGTACTTAGAAGGAAATACATAGCACTGAATACATATATTTAAAAAGAAGAAAGATCTAAAAATAGTAATCTGTTTCTACCTCAGAAAACTAGAAAAAGAAGAGCAAATTAAATCCAAAGTAGCAGAAGAAAAGATATAACAAGAATTAGAACAGAAATCAATGAAATTAAAAATAGGAAATCAATAGAGAAAATCAACAAAATCAAAAGCTCGTTCTTTGAAAAGTGGTCCTAGAAAGTAGGCCTGCTGATGTTGTTAGAACTGGATCACTCACCAGTCACTTAACAATGGGATCTTTGTTGGTAAATGGGATGATGAAAATCTATGGTATGTTATGGCATTACAATTACTAAGATTCATAGGCATAGTGGCTTGGGATAAAGTACTGGTAGACAGGAAAGCATTACATTATGCAGTTGCCCTAATACTTGAACAGCATGGGGACAATTATAAGGATTGTGGAGTTGGCTGATTCTAATTCACTATCTTCGAAACTTGGAAGGAAGACAATGTCAAGGTTAAGTCATCTAACTATCACCTTAAAGCATATTAAGAACACTATGATGCCTTCATAGCAGCATTTAGAGATCCTCATAGACTGCTAAAAATCAGGCCCACAATAGAAATGTAAAGGTAACAGAGTCACTAAGGAAACAACGTAGAGCCTCAAAAGGTCTCCTATGCTAAAGTGAGGCCCCTCACTGGGAAGGAGTAGGATCCTGACACAGGGGATGGGAACATTTGGGTGTATATGCCTGAGAAATCTGAGCCCTTAAATTCACAAGCACCCTCCAATTTGGCAAAAAGTTGTCCCCTTCCCACTGCTAGAGCAGAGCAGCTTCTCTTTGTACCGAGGCCATGCACATAAAGGCCTCAAAGAGGCAGATGCCTACCAAGAGGATGTTTGCTCTCCTCACAACCTGCCTACCCATCACCTCCTCTGACTCCCTCCCAGCCAATAATTTATATAGAGTCAGTCCTCAGATAGCCCAAGGACCTGGCTATTACGGACTGGAAGGAATCAGGGGAACAGTGTGAGAGTGGGTCACAAGAGTACTAATGGTGGGGATCTGAGGGATGGAATATAATGCTGGATAGGGAAGACTTTATTGATGTGGAGCACTCTCCCATGATACAGGACTCCCAAAACCTATCCTAATATGCTGCAGGAATTGCTCTTTAAAGCTTGGACACAACTCTGGCTGATAGCAAGCAAGGTGGTAATGCCGAAGTCTTGACAGATTGTTGAGGAAGGGATAAGTAGACTCAGGAAGGTGGAAACACTACAATGGAGTTTATCATGAGGAGAACCTTCTAGGAGACTATGTTTCTAAGATAAGGAGGGAGTCCTTGTTGAAAGACCCAAACATGACTGTTCTTAGGGTTGACAGCAGGGGTCGTTGCCATGGAACTATAGCTACCATAGATACCTCTGAGGAATCTGCACAAAGTAAATTGAAAACCTTTGGGAAAGGATTCGCCATTCTAGATGTCATTAAGAACATTCATGATTCATGGGAAGAGGTCAAAATATCAACATTAACAGGAGTTGGGAAGAAGGGGTTCCAGACTTCTGTGGAGACAGTTGCTGCAGGTGTCATGGAAACAGTAAGAGAACTAGAATTAGAAGTGGAGCCTGAAGATGGGACAGCGTTGCTGCAATCTCATGATAAAACTTCAATGGATAAAGAGTTTCTTCTGATAGATGAGCAAAAACAAGTGGTTTCTTGAGATGGAATCTAATTTTGGTGAAGATGCTGTGAAGACAGTTGAAATGACAACAAAGGATTTAGACTATTACATACACTTAGTTGATAAAGCAGTGGCAGGGTTTGAGAGGACTGACTCCAATTTTGAAAGAAGTTCTACTGTGGGTAAAGTGCTAACAAACAGCAACACATGCTATGGAGAAATTGTTTGTGAAAGGAAGAGTTAACCAATGAGGCAAATTTCATTGTTGTCTTATTTCAAGAAATTGCCAGAGCCACTCCAGCTCTCAGCAACTGCCACCCTGCTCAGTCAGCAGTCCTCAACATCCAGGCAAGACCCTGTACCAGCAAAAAGATTACAACTCACTGAAAGCTCAGATGATGCTTAGCATTTTTAGCAATAAAGCACTTTTAATTAGAGTATATACATAGTTTTTTTAGACATAACGCTATCACACACTGAATAGACTACAGTATAGCGTAAACGTAACTTTTATATGCACTGGGAAACCAAAAATTCATTTGACTCACTTTATCGTGCTGATAAAGTGCAATGAACCAAACCCACAATATCTTCACAGTATGCCTGTATTTACAATAGTATCTATTGCTGTACACATTCCAGTTTTCTCTCTCATTAAAGTCCAAATTTTTTAAATAAAATTTAAAATCTGATCTTTATCATAAAATTCCTTAGGCCCCAATCTTGAGAGCTGTCTCAGGTGCAATTTTAAAAACATTTACACCATTTCCCCACCGAAGAGAATGAATTCCTCCTTCTTTTAACATCTGCTCAAATCCACCAATCAATCTCATTCTCCTTGACTTTAAACTATGAACCTAGAAATGTACAGGAAATTTATTTTTAAATTTTTTGCTCATAATATAGCATTGATGTTATTATTGCTAATAAAATAATGATACATAAATGTAGAAATCTATGAACTTCAACACCATTTTCACTGTCCTTTAGAGACATATAAAATTGATATATTAATTTTTTGTTGTCCCCAAATACATACGTTAATCTCATACATCAAAGAGAGCAACTTAAAGAAAACAAGAATGACTTATCAGAGAATTTTTGCATACAAAAAATGTGTTGTTGCTGCTAGATTATTACAGAGTACACTGAAATATGCACTGAAAAAGGAATGGGTGAAAATATATCAAACTTTCAATAGCGGATACTTCTGGGTAGCAAGGTGTTATGGGTTGAAATGGGTCTCCCCAAAATTTATATGTTGAAGTCTTAATGCCTCAGAATGTGACCTTATTTGAAGATAGGGTCTTTATAGAGATAATCAAGTTAAAGTAAGGTCTTAAAGTGTCCCTAAAAACTAATATAATTAGTGTCCTTTTAAAAAGGGGAAATTTGGACACAGAGACATGTACAGACAGAAGACAACATGAAGAGACACAGAGAAAAGACAGCCATCTACAAGCCAAGGAGAGAGACCTGGAACAGATCCTTTCCTCACTGCCCTCAGAAGGAACCAACCACACAGACACCTTGATGTCAGACTTCTAGATTTCAAAACTGTGAGACAATAAACTTCTGTTGTGTAGGCCAGTCAGTTTGTGATATTTTGTTATAACATCCCTGGCAAACTAATACACAAGGATTACAGGTCATTTTAATGTCTTCCATTCTACTTTTCTGTATCATCCCATTTTTCTAATGTATTATTTTATAATAAGAATATGTCCTTTTTAAGAAAGTGAAAATTAGAACATTAGTAAAATACCCTCCTGTCTATAATGTAACAGGATAATAATGGGAGAGCAAGGTGAAATGGGCATTCTCATCTCCTGTGGGAAGAAAAAGTCTGGAAAAGAATTTAACAGTATACACACATGCACACACACACACACACACACAAAGCCTTAAAAATGGTCATATCATTACTTAACTTCCGGGAAATCTTTCTAAATAAATAATCCTAAATATGAAAAAAAACTCATAATCAATGATGTTCATCATTATGAACTATTATGAATTATAATTTTAAAAGAGTTTTAAAAACCACCTACATGTCCAAGAATAGGAAAAAGTAATTTAAAAAATTAATATGACACATCCACTTGAAATAATAGTCATTAAAACCTGTTTTTGAAAAATACACAAATATTTGAAATATTTGAAGAATATTTGAAATAACATGAAAACATGCTCATGCTATACTGTTAATCACAAAACCAAAAAACAATATATAAATTATTCATAAAGTGAGAACTGCTACTGAGTATGGGGCATTCCTTCTATAGATACAGGAGATCTGGAGAAAGAAAGCCCAAATCTGTTCAGGGTTGCATTGTGGAAGCAGACCTGAGTGTTCACAACTTGGTAATTATAAAAAAGCAGGAGAAAGATATTCCTAGGCTGATCCTATTGTGCCTCATCACCTGGTGCCCACAAGAGCTAGCAGGGTCTGCAAACTTTTCAATCTCTCTGCAGAAGATGATGCCCACGGATACATTGTCAGAAAACCTGTAAACAAGGACGGCACGACACCCAGGACCCAAGTGCCCAGCATTCAGCATGTCATTGCTCCATGTGCTCTGCAACACAAACAATGCCTATGAAGAAATAGCATACTAAGAAAAATAAGCAAGAGTCCACAGAACACGCTAAACTTTGGCCAAGAGAAGGAAGGAAGCCAAAGGAGAACATCAGGAACAGATTGTCAAGAGATGGAGACTATCACCTCTGAGAGCTCCTACTTCTACATCTGAGTCTGTCAGAAGTAAGATTTTTTAAGAGTAACAAATAAATAAGATCAGACAACAACCAAAAAAACTATTTATAATCCATTACCAAGGGGCGCCTGGGTGGCTCAGTCGGTTAAGCGGCTGCCTTTGGCTCAGGTCATGATCCCAGGGTCCTGGGATCGAGCCCCGCATCGGGCTCCCTGCTAGGCAGAAAGCCTGCTTCTCCCTCTCCCTCTGTCTGCCGCTCTGCCTACTTGTGCTCTCTCTCTATCTCTGTTAAATAAATAAATAAAAATCTTTAAAAAAAAAATTTAAAAAAATCCATTACCAAATGTCACCAATGTTACCAAAAAAAAAAAACAAGACAATAAAACACCCCCGTATATAAGTTTAATTACAAATCTAAACTCACTAGATTGTGAATTATTAATTTTTGTATCTTTGTGAAGAAAGTATTCAGCAAATATTAAATTTTAATTACGACAGTTAACAGATTAAACTATGCACTATTGAAACTACTATTGACAATCCATTACTTAGTAGAATAAAGATAATTAGACACCAATACCTCTAGTGAGGTATCAGTCAATAGCACACTCTAAGTAACTTATTTGCCAATTCTTAGAAATATGGCTTAATACTTAAATAGTACAATAGAACCATACTATTATGTAGGTGCCAGGGTCTAGAAATAATCAATAAATAAGACTAATGGTGTCTTACCACTTCTTTGATATTTTTAGTTCTATTTCTGAAAAAACTTCTAATAGAGTGTCCTATTATTATTATTTCAAATAAAAATTAATTTAAATAGCACACAAGCATCTTTAAGAAAATTTAAAAATCTTTTTAATATTGAAAATAAGAAAATTTGCATTTTCAGAAAAATGTGAAATTATAATGAGAAATAGTATGAAAGGTGCCAAAACACTTCTTTTTGAAAATTGTCAAGGGTTTTTCAAGTGACTTTAAGGAGTCAGGTGTGCAAACTACCTGCATCATGACTTTCAAGTGGTCAAAAGGTGCTGTGCATGTCCTTGCAACTGCCCCAGCTATACCTCCTGCCACCAAACGCCTCCACCAATCTCCAGAACGCTTTTCTTCTTCAGTAAATTCATCTGGGATAGATATACTCTCCCCTATGTCAATTATCTGATAAAAATGTAAAAATGAATTACACAACAAAGTATACATACTTGATAAATTAAAAGGATAATTTTTTACAAAGACCAAAAACCCAAAGTATTTTTTCGTATCTCACCTCCTGTTAATGAATACTGACAATTTTCTCAGCACTTGTACTAGACCAAATGATTTTTAATAATACATTCACATACAGATTTAAAATCTATAAAAATCAATTCCTATTAAATTAAAGTTATTAATTTTAAATTCTCAAGCTATTTAGATTAATCTCTTCCATGGAAAATGTAAATATTTGGGTGCCTGGGTGGCTCAGTTGGTTAAGCGACTGCTTTCGGCTCAGGTCACGATCCTGGAGTCCCAGGATCGAGTCCCGCATCGGGCTCCCTGCTGAGCAGGGAGTCTGCTTCTCCCTCTGACCCTCCCCCCTCTCATGCTCTCTCTATTCTCATTCTCTCTCTCAAATAAATAAATAAAATATTTTTTAAAAAAAGAAAATGTAAATATTCAATGCAGGGATAATATCCTAGTCGCACACCACAATGCCTGTCACACAATGCTTAATTAAGTTTCTCTACTTCATTTCAAAATCTCTCGAATTCCAGTGTGTACTTACCTAATCTGTCAGAATTCAAAAGTAGTATTTTATACTCTTATACTTCTTTCTCTATTATTTACATTGACTTTTTTCTCTAATGACAATTTTCTTTTTAAAACTCTGAACTCTAACAAGTTTTGCATTTCACTTTATTTTCAGTAATCATACATGCTTTTGCTGAGATTATCCATTTCTGCTAAATGTTGAGGCAATGTGACTCACTGAAAAGAGTGCCATATTGGACACAGGGGATCTAGGTTCCATTACTTGTCAATCATGGCAGACAAGTCACTTCTCTGCTTCTTAGTTTTCCCATCTTTATTTATGCATTCATTGAATGCCCCCTTTCCAAGTGCCATTCCACCTCAGAACTTTGTACTTGATTTTCTCTCTAGTAGGACCTTTCTCCTTGGCTCTTTCCATAGATTCCTCTTTAATACTTAGCAAAATCTTTATTAGTTCATTTCTATCTGTTGCTTGCTTCCTCCTTTAAAAAATAAATCTGATAAGAGCAGCAACCTGGTTTTTTTTATGCACTGGGATAGATATACTATCTATCCTGGTCTTACTTAAGTATCTAAATACTTAAAAGGTCTATTTAAGTATTTAAATCCTGTACTATTCAAGTATTAAAAAAAGACCTAACCTGGTCTTTTTTATGCACTGTTGTAAACCTTGCACTTTGGTCAGTGGAGATAAGTGTGCTCAATAAATATTTGTTGAACTAATAAATTAACACACCAGGTGCTGGGTTGTGTATTCATAATACAGTGCAGAAATTAAGTTTCTTCCCTCAGGGAGTTGACAGTATAATACAAAAGATAGGAAAGGAAACAAGCAATTATAATATAAAGGAATAAGTACAATAACAAGGGTAGCAAAAAAAAGTGTCTTAAGAACACAGTATCGAGACATTTAATGGAGTGTGGAATTTTTTTTTCTTTTTGTTGGGGGGAGATGAGTGGAACTGTCAAGGAACACTTTTCACGTAAAGTAACTTAGAAGTAGCAAAGCAATATGAATCCAGGTATTCTGACCTCAAAGTTTACCTTCTTGTCCATCACACTGTACCGTCTCCCTGTAGAAGTAGGAATTAATGAAGGGAATGTTCTAGACAAAGAAAATAATTTGTTCAAAGACATTAGATATTCTAAGAACTGCAAGACTGTATATAGGGATGGAAGGATGGTAAAGGAAAGCTCAAGACCTTGGAATAATGTTGACATTTATGGCTTGGGCAATTAGGAAGATGATGACACCATTCAGTGAAATGGTAAAAGAAGATCTAGAGGACAAAAGATGTGGTGTGTGTGTTTGAGGTGTCCCAACTGATATCCAATAAATGCTTGCACATGCAGAAGGAAGGTGTGCTCTAGAGACATAAGATGTGGAGCAATCACTAGGCCTATATCTGGTAGTTCAACGTGGAAGAGTAAATAGGATTGCCTAGAAAAAAAATATACAGGGTGAGAGGCAAAGAAAGTTGAAACTGAAACATAGAAGAAAGCTAATATATAAGAGACAGACTGAGAAAGAAGAGCCTCAAGGGAGACAGAAAAGTAATGACAGAGAGGTGGGAAGAAAACCAGGAGAATGTCTTGTCAAGGAAGCCAGCTGAAGAGAACACGTAGAAAAAGAGAGTGGTAAGATCTAGAAAATATCCACTGAACTAACAGGAGAGAGACTGGCTTAGTAAAAGAATTTCTACAAAGTGAAAGCAAAGCCAGTTAGTTGAGAAGTGAATGGGAGTATAGCAATGAAGAGAGAAAAAGGATAAGGTAGCTAAGATGGGACTTCAGTAGGATTACATTTTTTTGTTAAAGGTACTGGCTTAAATATGTTAAATGTTGTATTTAAATGCAGGATATTTAAATACAAAACATAAAGGAGATAATAGAGAGAATAAGGTCCCTGAATGGGTCAAAGATGAAATCAAAGGGGAAATAAAAAAAAATCTTAAGACAAATGGAAACACAATATACCAAAACTTATGGCATGCAGCAAACGCAGTTCTTAGAGGGAAGTTCATAGCAATACAGGCCTACCTCAAGAAACAAGAAAAACCTCAATCTAAATTTAAACCTTAAGGAACTAGTATTATGCTAAGTGAAATAAGTCAGTCAGAAAAAGACAAATACCATATGATTTCACTCAAATGTGGAATTTAAGAAACAAAGCAGATGAACATAGGGGACAGGAAGGAAAAATAAAATAAGATGAAAACAGAGAGGGAGGCAAACTCCTAATTCTAGGAAACAGAGGGTTGCTGGACGGGGGTGGGGGATGGGGTAACTGGGTGATGGGAATTAAGGACGCACTTGATGTAATAAGTACTGGGTGTTATATGCAACTGATGAATCATTAAATTCTACCCCTGAAACCAATAAAAAAAATAATAATAATAAATAAATAAACCTTAGGGAGCTAGAAAAAGAAAAACTAAGACCAAAGTTAGCAGAAGGAAGGAAATTAATAAAGATCAGAGCAGAAATAAGAGAAATAAGAGACCGGAAACAAAAACAAACAAAAAACAAAAGATCACCAAAACTAAGTGCTGGTTTTTTTTAAAAGATAAACAAAATTGGCAAACCTTTAGCTAGACTAACTAAAGAGAGAAGACTCAAATAAATAAAAGCAGAAACAAAAGAGGAGACATTACAACTGATACCACAAAACTACAATGGGTCATAAGACATTACTCTGAACAATTATACACCAATAAATTGCATAACCTAGAAGAAATGTATAAATTCCTAGGTACATACAACCTACTGAGACTGAATCATGAAGAAAGAGAAAATCTGAACAGACCAATAATGAGAAAGCAAATTGAATCACTAATTAAAAAAATCTCCCAACAAAGAAAAGCCCAGGACCAGATGGTATCCCTGGTGAATTCTACCAAAATTTAAAGAAGAATTAATGCCAATCATTCTCAAACTCTACTAAACAACTGAAGAGAATTGAACCCTTCCAAACTCATTTTTATAATACTAGCATTACCCTGATACAAAAGTCAGACAAGGACACTACAAGAAAACTACAAACCAATAGCCTTAATGAACATAAGTGCAAAAATCCTCCACAAAATATTAGCAAATACAGTTCAATGGCACATTAAAAGGATCATGATAAATGGGATTTATCCCTGGGATGCAAAGATGGTTCAACATACACAAATCAAAAAATGTGATATATCACGTTGACAGAATTAAGGATAAAAATCATATGATCATTTCAATAAATGCAGAAAAAGCATTTGACAAAATTCAACATCCTTTCAAGATTAAAACTATCAAAAAGTTGGGTATAGAATGAATATAACTCAACATATTAAAGGCCATATATTACAAGCCCATAGGTAACATAATACTTAATGGTTAAAGGTTGAAAACCTTTCCTTGAAGATCAGAAACAAGACAACGGTGACAATTCTTCTCACCAACCCTATACAGCATAGTACTGAAAGTCCTAGCCTCAGCAAGAAAGAGAAATAAAAGGCATCCAGGGGTGCCTGGGTGTCTCAGTTGGTTAAGCCTCTGACTCTTGATTTCAGTTCAGGTCATGATCTCAGGGTCATTAGATCAAGCCCCACATCAGGCTCCATACCAAGTGTGGAGCCTGCTTAATATTCTCTCACTCCTTCTCCCTCTGCCCCTCCCTGATCAATCTCTCTCTTTCTCTCTCAAAAAAAAAAAAGGCATCCAAATCAGAATGATAGAAGTAAAATTGTCTCTGTTGCAAATGACATGATCTTATATATAAGAAATCCTAAAGACTCCACCAAAAAAACTGTTAGAACTAATCAGCAAAGTTGCAAGATACAAAATCAATATATAAAAACCAGTTTCATTTCTATACACTAACAACAAAATATCTGAAAAAGAAATATAGAAAACAATCTCATTTATAATAGCATCAAAAACAATAAAATAGTTATGAATAAATTTAACCAAGGAGGTAAGGGACTTGCACACTGAAAACTGGATAACATTGATGAAAGAAATTGAATATGACACAAATAAATGGAAAGATATACCATGCTCATGGACTGAAAGAATTAATATTGTTAAATGTCCACATACCCAAAGCCATCTATAGATTCAATGCAAGCCCTATCAAAATTCCAATGGCATTTTTCAGAGAAATAGAGAAAAAAAATCCTAGAATGCATATGGAAACACAAAACTCAAATAGTGAAAGCAATCCTGAGAGAGAACGAAGCTGGAGGCATTATACTCCTTGATTTCAAGCTATAGTAATGAAAACAGTATGATACTGGCACAAAAACAGTCACATAAATCAATGGAACAGAATTGAGAGCCCAGAAATAAACCCTCACATATATGGTAAACTCATATTTGACAAAGGAGCCAAGAATATTCAATGGACAAAGAATAGTCTTTTAAAAGAATGATGTTGGGAAAACTGGATAATCACATGCAGCAGAATAAAATTGGACCCCTACCTTAAACCACTCAGAAAAATTAACTCAAAATGGATTAAAAACTTAAACCTAAGATCTGAACCCGTAAAACTCCTTAAAGAAAACAAGGAAAAAGCTGCTTGATATGGGTCTTGGCAATGACCTTTTGGGTATGACACCAAGAGCATAATTAGCAAGAGCAAAAAGTTTTTGTAAGCATCCAACTCTTGATTTCAGCTCAAGTCATGATCTCAGGGTCATGAGATGGAGCCCCAAATCGGGGCTCCACACTGAGCGTGGAGCCTGCTTAAGATTTTCTCTCTCCCCCTGCCCTTCCCCCACCTCTTGTTCTCTCTCTCTTTCTAAAAAGAAAACAAAAGCAAAAATTAATAAGTGGGTCTACATCAACCTTAAAAGCTTCTATACAGTAAAAGAAACAATCAGCAATATGAAAAAAGGCAAACTACAGAATAGCAGAAAATACCTACAAACCATATATCTGATTTGGGGTTAATATCCAAAATATATAAGGGTCTCATACAACTCAGTAACAACAAAAAAACCAATCTAATGAAAAAAATGGGCAGAACAACAAAATAGATATTTCTCAAAAAAAAAAAAAGACATACAAATGGCCAACTTGTATATGAAAAGATGGTCCACATTACTAATCAACAGGGAAATGCAAATCAAAATCACAATGATATTACCTCTTGTTAGAATGGCTACTACCTACAAAACAAGAGATAACAAGTGTTAGTAAGGATGGAGAGAGAAGGTAAGAAACCCTTCTGCATTGTTGGTGGGAATTTAATTGGTATAGCCACTGTGGAAATCAGTATGAAGTTCCTCAAAATATTAAAAAAGAACTGTCATATCCAGAAATTCCACTTATTGGTATAAAGCCAAAGGAAATGAAATCAGGATCTCAGGGGCGCCTGGGTGGCTCAGTTGGTTAAGCGTCTGACTCTTGATTTCTGCTCAAGTCGTGATCTCAAGGTCCTGGGATTGAGCCCAAAGTCAGGCTCCCTGCTCAGCATGGAATCTGCTTGTTTCCCTCTCCCTCTGCCCCTCCCCCTGCTTGCGTAAGTGTGCTCTCTCTCTCTCTCTCATTCTCCCTCCCTCGAATAAAGCATTAAAAAAAGAAATCGGGATCTCAAAAAGATATCTGTACCTCCATGTTCATTGCAGCATTATTCACAAAAACCAAGTTATGGAAACAATCTAAGTGTCCACCTGTGGATGAATAAATAAAGAAGATGCAGTATATATACACAATGGATTATTATTTAGCCATTAGAAAGAAGAAAATCTTGGGCACCTGGGTGGCTCAGTTGGTTAAGCGACTGCCTTCGGTTCAGGTCATGATCCTGGAGTCCCAGGATCGAGTCCCGCATCGGGCTCCCTGCTCAGCAGGGAGTCTGCTTCTCCCTCTGACCCTCTTCCCTCTCGTGCTCTCTGTCTCTCATTCTCTCTCTCAAATAAATAAATAAAATCTTTAAAAGAAAAAAAAGAAAGAAGAAAATCCTGCTATTTGCAACAATATGGATGGACTTCAAGGACATTATGCTAAATGAAATAAGTCAAACAGAGAAAGAAAAATACTGTACAGCATCACTTAAGTATGGAATCTAAAAAAAGGCAAATTCATAGAAGCAGAGTAGAATGGTGGTTGCCAAGAGCTGGGAAATGAGGGAAATGGGAAGATGTTGGTCTAAGGACAAAATCCTCTGGTTATGAGGTGAATAAGTTCTGGGGACCAAATGTACAGCATGGTGATTACAGTTAATAATGTATTATATATACTTGAAAGTTGCTAAGAGAGTAAATCTTAAATGTTCTCACCACAAAAAAGAAATGATAATTATGCGAGGGTTATGGAGGGAAATGTGACAATCATTTCACAATATGTAAGTGTATCAGATATCATGTTGTACACCTTAACTTACACAATGTTGTATGTCAATTCTGTCTCAAAAAATCTTGAAAAAATAGACAAAGATAAAAATAGACAATTTGTAGAAAAGAACATGTGAATCTCTAGTATTTCTATGAAGACATGTTAGAAATGCACATTAAGACAAGATACCACTCTATACCCAACAGAGTGGAAAATATTAGAAAATTGGATAATACCAAGCAATATTCATGCATTGCTGGTGGGAATGTAAGCTGGTATAGAAAGTCATTTGGGAAATAACATGGCTATCTTTCATAGAATTAAGACTAGGATAACCTCTGTAAAATTGCAAATGCATATTCTTTTTGACTCAGAAATCCAGGTGAAATTCTCTAAGGTACAAAAGAGGAAAGTTTTTTTGTTTTTTGGTTGAAGTTGGAGAAGATCTAGATGTCTATTACTAGGGAAATGGATAAAGAAGATGTGTTAAATGCATACTATTGTAGTGGTTAGAAGCAATAAACTAGATGAATGCATAACAACAAGGACAAATCTTAAAATCATAACACCGAGTGAACAAAGCAAGAAATCAGTTGTAGACTTCAGCAGAATACTACCTATGTAAATTAAATACACACACACATGAAAAACTACATGATTCCTAAGAATATATACATATCCAAGACACAGACTACACATATTAACATAAGTGCCTATCATAATAAGTAACATTTATTGAAGACATATATTACCTGCCCAGCCCTTTTCTAAATTCACTAACTAATGTATTAATTTAATTCTCAAAACTCTTACCATTATTATCCCCAGTATATAACTGAGAAAACTGAGGCACAGAGGGATCATAAAGCTAGTGGGTGGCAGAAGTGAAATTCAACCCTAGACATCTGACTCTGAAGCCTATGCTCTTTGTCCTCCCCTATATTGTTCTATGAAGAGGAGGATGCAAATAGTATGCCATGAATAAATGATTAACTTAACCCCCTGCATCGAGATTTAAAAAAGAAAAAACAAGTTTTCGATTAAAAAGCCTCATTTCTTCCTCACAACTCTGAGTCAAGTGCTTACATAAAAAGAACAGGTAGATTATATTTTTGATCCTTTCTGATTCTGAAATTTTGAATCTTAATCTTTGACTTTACATTTCCCATGACAGAAAGCTGAGTATATCATCTCTGATATACTCTGTGAAAAAAGAAAAGTATATTATTTTTCCACTTTCCTAGGACAGTTAACTATATTAGAGTAATTTATTCTCAACACAAAGTAGGCCCTTTCAGTAGATGAGTATATACTTTAAGTTCTAGGTTTTAGTAAACAAAGAAATTGTAGTAGCTATGTTTGTACATTTAATACTAACACTCATTGCTCAATTAGTAGAACATTATAAGGAGAGAATACTGTTATTTTAGTCACTGAGGCTGGAAGTATTATAGAGGTTATGTAATCATAATAACAGCTATGACATTTGTGGCAAAATAAAAATAGAGTAAAATACAAAGCAATCTTACAGTAGAATGCTTCCAGAAATGAGCAATTTCATCAATATTTGTTGCAGGATGAAGTAAAAAGTAGTACTTCCATTCATCCCAGTCTACTGTCATCGTTCCATCACTACCAATGCTGAAATTTAAAACAAAAATAGTGCTTATAACATTTATAACAAATACTCTAAGAATAAATACTAAGAATACTCTGTTGAATATTTTAAAAGTTGCTAAGACAGTAGATCTTATGTTAATTGTTCTTACACGGAGACAACCTAAGGGTCTACCAGTGGATGAATGGATAAAGAAAATGTGGTATGTGTGTGTGTATACAGACACACACAAACAATGTGTGTGTGTGTGCACAGTGGAATATTATTCAGCCATAACAAAAGGAAATCTAGACATTTGAGACAACATAGATGGACCTTGAGGGCATTTTGCTAAGTGAAATAAGTCAGACAGAGAAAGACAAATACCACATGATCGCACCTATAAGTGAAATCTTTAAAAAAAACAGAGCTCATAGAAAGAACAGATTGGTGGGTGGTTGCCAGAGGTGGAGGTTTAGGGGATGAGTGAAATGGGTGAAAGAGGTTGAAAGGTACAAACTTCAGTTATAAAATAAGTCACGGGAATGTAATGTACAGCATGGTAACTATAGTTAATAATACCGTGCTGCATATTTTTGAAAGCTGATGAGAGTAAATCTTAAAAGTTCTCATCACAAGAAAAAAAAATTTAATTACATATGGTGACAGATGTTAACTAGACTTATTGTGATGATCATTTCACAATATATACAAATATCAGAACATTACATTGTACACCTGAAACTAATGTTATATGTCAATTATACCTCAATAAAAAAGAAAGAAATTTAAGTTTTAAGTACGAAAAAGTATTCTTATCACAAAAAAATAATAGTTATAAATAAGGCGGTGGGAGGAAACTTTTGGAAGGGATGGATAGGTTTATGGCTTAGATTGTGGTAATGGTTTCCTAGGTGTATAATTACCTCCAAACTCATCAAGTTGCATATGTCAGTTATGTACAGATTTTTGTATGTTAAAAAAATTAAAAATTAAATTTTTTCAATCAATTGCTTAAGAGAATTATACCTATTCTTTAAACTAAAGCAGGCAGAATTTTATTCTAGGGACTTTGTAACATGTGAACAATTTATGATTTAGTCAATAGCATTCTCACAATTCAATAAATCTCTTAGGGATCTTTCTTATAACACTGTCAATAAAAGCTAATATTATCAAACATAAAAGAAAGGCAGGCAGGCAGGAAAGGAGGGAGGCAGGCAGGGAGGAAGGGGCTACAACTATAGCAATTAATTTCTACCTTGGAATATTAAATAAAAATAAAAACTATCAAAAATAAGGAAAAGGGCTGACCTTTGTAGAATTTTTTTTGCCTGAGCTTCAGAAATATTTATACCCAGTGATTTCAAAGCAGCAATTATTTCTGAAGTTTCTATTATTCCTTTAAAAAGTGAAAAAAATGTCAAATTAAATTATCTGAAAAGATAACAAGGCAAAATATACTTAGAATGCAATAGTCTTTAAAAAGCCCATGTTTTTTAGACCTATAATCCCATATTCACAACACAACGGCTAAAAGCTCTGAAAACTAAAAGACTTTTTGTAAATTTGGCACCAAAACCCATTTGGTAGCCAATTACTTATCTGATTTTGTGTGATTATTCATTTGTTTCACTGAAGAAATATTCACATTTACAATTGCATGGTAATGCCCCAAACCCCACCTGGAGTATTACATAATATATCATACACGCATTCTGTTGCTTTTCTAAAACCCAAATTCTAAATTTCTAAACACATTTTACCCTAAGGGTTTCCAATAAGAGATTTTAGATCTATAACAGATCTAGATTATTGTACCTACTTGGAAAAAATTGAAAAGCTAACTCTGAAGATCTGATTCAGGGGCATGAAAATAAGGCCACTCAACATTTTATAAGGTAAGTTTTTAAAGAAATAACATACTTAAAATATAATAGAACACAAACTCTTTTTAATACAACCATATCCTATGTTAAATAACTCAAGTCAACTGATATATTTAATACAAGCCTACTATGCATCTCAATTGCAAATTGCTGAATGTTGTGAAGGAGAAATTAAGTATTCCATATGCTCCTCAAACTCTAAAATGTTTAACTCAACATGCTGCTCTCCAAGTCCAAAAAAATCTTTGATTCCCCCCCCACCCCCACCACCATGTAAAACAAAGAGTTGAGGCTACTCATCTTTTAAAATATGAGGACATTTTCATGTTAAAAAAAAATCAACTTAACGTCACCTAGCTGTAAAATCTATAACATCAAAAAACTACTATAAATTCAGTCACATCTTTATTTCATATTTTATGCACTACAGCTGCATCTGCATACATTTATAAATAGCATACATATGTATGAGACATATTTATTTACCCTATAGACAAAGCCCAGTATTCACACAGAGAATATGTGGAAATGGTATTCTACTTTTACCTACAGTCTTTATGATTTAAGGGTTTGTGACAAAGTACACCTTTCCTCTGTAAATTAGCATGGATATTTACCACAACACTATGTATAAGAGTACAAATTTGGAAACATCCCAGATGTCTTAAAATACAGGAATGACTAGATAAGTCTACTCATAAATGGAATACTTCAGAGTCATTAAAGACTATGTGAAGAATATTAAATGAAATGAAAATGCTTACATTATAACATTAAAAGAAAAAAGTAGGGCATCAAACTATATGTAGTGTGACTACAATTTCATTTAAAGAGAGAAAGAGGGATGCCTGGGTGGCTCAGTCAGTTAAGCATCTGCCTTAGGCTCAGGTCATGATCCCAGAGTCCTGGGATCGAGCCCCACATGGGGCTCCTTGATCGGCGGGGAGCCTGCTTCTCCCTCTCCCTCTGCCTGCCACTCCCCCTGCTTGTGCTCTCTCTCTCTCTCTTTCTCTGATTAATAAATAAAATCTTTTTTTAAAAAAGTGTATGCTTAAAAAAAGAGAGAGAAAGAGAAACCAAGAAAGAAAGAAATAAGTCTAGAAGAAACTATAAAAATATATTAAAATGTTAAACCTGATTTCCAGACAGCAGGGTTACAAGTAACTTTTACTTTCTTTTAAGGTCTTTGTGTTATCTAACTTTCCTGCAACCAAAATATTTTCAAAATCAGCAAGTAAACAATGGCATTTTTTTAAATTACCATGATACTTTCAGCTCATACATTACAAAAGAGTGGAGAGGCCTACTCCCTAAGCCAAGAAGCTTTAAATTCAGAGGACAAATTATTTTATTTAAAAAATAGTAACCAGGGGTGCCTGGGTGACTCAGTCAGTTAAGCATCTGCCTTCAGCATGGGTCATGATCCCGAGGTCCTGGGATGGAGCCCTGCATCAGGCTCCCTGCTCAGCGGGGATTTTGCTTCTCCCTCTTCCTCTGCCCCTCCCCCTGCTTGTGCTCTCTCTCTCTCTCAAATAAATGAATTAAATCTTTAAAAATATAGTAACCACACAAAAATTATAACAATAATAAATATAGTTTATATAATATTCTCCGAAAGAAAAAATTACTACTAGACATGCAATAGAAATAACTGAATCTCTGATGGTATGAGGAAGTTAAAGGCTGATAAAACAATGTCCTTTAGTACTGACAATTATTATTCATGTTAAGCTAATTGTAATAAAACACAAACACACACCATCACTATTTTTGTCCAGACTATTAAATGCCAGCCTCATTTTTTTCTGGTGGTCTTTAAGGTACTGCAAAAATTCTCCAAAGTCCAATCTTGAATCCTCATTGGTATCTCCAGCTTTAAAAATGTCCTACAAGAGGGCGCCTGGGTGGGTCACTTGGTTAAGTGACTGCCTTCAGCTCAGGTCATGATCCTGGAATCCCTGGATCGAGTCCCACATCGGGCTCCCTGCTCAGCAGGGAGTCTGCTTCTCCCTCTGACCCTCTTCCCTCTCGTGCTCTCTATCTCTCATTCTCTCTCTCTCAAATAAATAAATAAAATCTTTAAAAAAAAATGTCCTACAAGAAAGAAGAAACTCATTGCAGAAACATATTGCAAGTAAACCCACTGTAGCATGCTAACATTGGCACATTTCACACATATTAATTATTGTCTTAGTTTTTCAGTCACAGATACAAGGCTAAGAACATTTGTGATTTTTTTAATTTGTGCAATACTAGAGTCAATAGCCACGATGTCATTCCAAATAATTCTGAATTTATAAGTAGGTATTTACCAGAGGTAAACAATGAATGCCAAGTGCCTTGAGAGAAGAAAGATACTAAGATACATAATCTTTGCCATCAGAAACCTCACATTCTATTAACTAAATGAGAGAAAATACTTAAATTTCTAGGAGGACTTAAGATGGTGGAGTCGTAGGGGTACCCTGGGCTTCCTCCTCCCTGGAACACAGCTAGCTCAACATCAAATCATTTCGAACACCTAGGAAATCAATCTGAGGATTAAGAAAACAATCTGCACAATTGGAGGGAGAGGACATGGCAGATGTGAGTTTCAGAGCCATGAATTGGGGGAGAAAAAAGCTGTGGTGCCACAGAGGAGAGGGAGCACTTTTCTTGGAACAAAGATGGGAAGGGAGGGAGAGAGTAGCGGGAGGGTCTTTGCAAGACGTTGTGGTGTGGGAATCCCCTGGGTGGCACTGGGAGAGAAAGCTCCCCTTCCCAGAGTACATTTGGAAGAGGGTTTTTTTTTTAAGATTTTTTTTTATTCATTTAAGAGAGAGACAGAAACAGAGCCAAAGAGCAGGAGCAGGGAGGAGAGGGAGAAGCAGGCTCCCCACCGAGCAGGGAGCCCGATGTGGGGTTCGATCCCAGGACCCCAGAATCACAACCCAAGCCGAAGGCAGATGTTAACTGACTGAGCCACCCAGGGGCCCCTGGAAGAGGGTTTTTGCCTCTCTAAGGACAAAAGGCCCACCAGGCGCCACAGAGCAGCAGTTCAACAGCAGGGGACAGAGGTGCGGTCAGAGGGCTGATAAACTGGTCATAGCTTTTCCCTGTGCATCACCATAGACTCCAGGCACCTGTGCAGCCTAGACAACTGCTTTTCTGGGACAAAACAGTGCTGGGCGCAATGCTGTGAGGCTCTTCTTCAGGGGAGGGAACAGGTCCACACCTTGCCGTGCCCTTTAAGATATGGAGTTTTAAAACCCAGCCATGGGCCAAAGATAAAACATAGAAGAATTGTGGTGCCAGGCGTGCCCATGACCGGACACAGACAGACTGAGGGCATGGATCTGATGAAAGCCTGGGGCAGAGGAAAGGAGATTGTTCTCTTTTCTGTGAGGGCTGCCTAAACAGGGAGGCTGTGAGTACCCCTCCCTGGAGATGAGAAGGCGGGGTGACACCATCTTCCACCCCCCAAAGACACACCCTGTCAGACTTCAGAGGGAAACACAGCACCTCCAGTGGAGGCTGGAGTCCCTTACACCAAACCCTGGCCCCCTGCGCCTGGCAAGGGCATCTTTACAAGGGCAGTTCTGACTGTGAGACAGAGCAGCGGGCCCCTCCCTCAGAAGACCAACACAGGCCCCCCTCATGTACCAGGTCTACCGATCACAGAGTGCCCCAAAGTCTCAGCTTCAGTGCTGGTGGAACTGGTTTTTTATTTTTTCTTTTCCTTTTTTCTTTTTTTTTTGGAATCAGGCTCATAGTTTTTTGTTCATTTGTTGGTTTGTTTATTTGTTTCCTTTTCTCATTTTTTGGATCAGGCTTCTTTCCTTTTTTCCTTCTTTTTCTTTGGACTCAGGCTTACACTTAATTTTGTTTGTCTGTTTGTTGTCCCTTTTCCTTTTCTCTTTTCTTGGATCAGGCCTTTTTTTCCCCCCTTTTTTAGATATATCTTAACAAACAAATCAAAGCACACCTAGTTAAAAGTCCAAACACTCCCACTGCAAGGAAGGAGGACTTCTGCAGAGGACTGACATGTGGAAAAGAGCAGCCAAAACACAATAGCAGAGTGCACACAGCATACACCAGAAACACTTCCTGAAATGCCTGGCCCTGGACAGTGTATGACCCCTTCTTTTTTTTTTTTTCCATTCAAGATGTGCCCTCTTTAATACCCATCACCAGGCTAACTCATCCCCCCATCACCCTCCCCTCTAGAACCCTCAGTTTGTTTCTCAAGTCCATAGTCTCTCATGGTTCATGTATGACCCCCTCTTAATATAGTATTACTCTCAGGAGTAGGGAACATAACAAACTTTCATAACATGTGAAAGACAGAAACCTAGACATAATGACAAGATGGAGGAATTCTCCCCAAAAGAAAGATCAAGAAGAAAGCACAGTCAGGGATTTACCCAAAACAGATATAAGCAATATATCTTAACAACAATTTAGAACAACAGTCATAAAAATACTAGCTGGGCTTGAAAGAAGCATAGAAGACACCAGAGAAACACTGGCTGCAGAGATAAAAGACCTAAAAACTAGTCAGGCCGAAATAAAAAAATGCTATAACTGAGATGCAAAACCAACTGGATGTAATCACAATGATGATGGAAGAGGCAGAGGATCGAATAGGTGATACAAAAGATAAAATTATGGAAACTAATGAAGCTGAAAAGAAGAGGGAAAGACAATTATTAGATCATGAATATAGACTTAGGGAATTCAGCAATTCCACAAAATGCAATTAATATCCATATCATAGGAGTCCCAGAAGAAGAGCAGGAAAAAGGGGCAGAAGGTTTATTTGAACAAATTATAGCTGAGAACTTCCCTAATCTGGGGAAGGCAACAGGCATTCAAGTCCAAGAGGCACAGAGAACTCCCCTCAAAATCAACAACAACAAAAAAAGTCAACACCAAGACATATCATAGTGAAACTTGCAAAGTACAAAGATAAAGAGAGAATTCTGAAAGCAGCCAGGGACAAAAAGTCCTTAAACTATAAGAGTAGCTACATAAGGTTAACAGCAGACCTGACCACAGAAATTGGCGTAGGCCAGAAGAGAGTGGTATGATATATTCAACATGCTGAATGGGAAAAATATGCAGCCAAAAATACTATATCTACCAAGACTGTCAATCAGAATAGAAGGAAAGATAAAGAGTTTCCAAGACAAGCAAAGACTAAATGAGTTCGTGAACACAAAACCAGCTCTGCAAGAAATATTAAAGGGGACACCTTTTTTTTTTAAAGATTTTATTCATTTGAGAGAGAAAGAACGAGACAGAGAGAGCATGAGAGGGGGGAGGGTCAGAGGGAGAAGCAAACTCCCTGCTGAACAGGGAGCCTGATGCAGGACCCGATCCCAGGACTCCAGGATCAAGACCTGAGCCGAAGGCAGTCACTTAACCAACTGAGCCACCCAGGCAGCCCTAAAGGGGACACTTTGTGCAGGAAAGAGACAGCAAAAGCAACAAAGACTAGAAAGGAACAATCTACAGGATCAGTGACTTTATAGGTAATACAATGGTGCTAAATTCATATCTATCAATAATCACTGTGAATGTAAATGGGCTAAATAATCCAATCAAAAGATATAGGGTAAAGACCCACCAACAATATGCTGCTTACAAGAGGCTCATTTTAGGGGCACCTGGGTGGCTCAGTTGGTTAATCATCTGCCTTCAGCTCAGGTCATGATCCTGGGGTTCTGAGATTGAGTCCTGAGTCAGGTTCCCTGCTCAGCAGGAAGTCTGCTTCTCCCTCTCCCTTTGCCCCTGCCCCCTGCTCATGCTCTCTCTCTCTCAAATAAATAAATAAAATATTTTTTTAAAAAAAGTCTCAGACCCAAAAACACCTCCAGACTGAAAGTGAGGGGGTGAAGAACAATCTATCATGCTAATGGACATCAAAAGAAAGCTGGAGTAGCCATACTTATATCAAACTAGATTTTAAACCAATGTCTGTAATAGGAGATGAAGAAGGGCACTATTTCATAATAAAGGGGTCTATCCAACAAGAGAATCTAACAATTATAAATATTTATGCCCCAACTTGGGAGCAGCCATATATAAATCAATTACTAACAAACTTAAAGAAACTCATTGATAATAATACAATAATAGTAAAGGACTTTAACACCCCACTTACAACAATGGAGAGATCTTCTAAGCAGAAGATCAACAAGGAAACAATGGCTTTGAATGACACACTGGACCAGATGGACTTTACAGACACATTCAAAACATTTCATCCTAAAGCAGCAGAATACACATTCTTGTCGAGTGCACATGGAACATTCTCCAGAAAAGATCACATACTGGTTCACAAATCAGGCCTCAACCAGTACAAAAAGATAATACCATACATATTTTCAGACCACAACGCTGTGAAACTTGAAGAACACAATTTGGAAAGAACAAAGAACACAAGAACAAGAACACACAATAACAAATTTGGAAAGACCACAAATACTTAGGGGTTAAAGAGCATCCCCACTAAAGAATGAATGGGTTAACCAGAAAATTAAAGAAGAAATTTAAAAGTACAAGGAAACAAATGAAAATGAAAACACAAGAGTCCAAACCTTTGGGATGCAGCAAAGGCAGTCATAAGAGGTAAGTATATAGAAATACAGGCATTCCTCAAGAAGCAAGAAAAGTCTCAAATCACAATCAAACCTTACACCTAAAGGAGCTGAAAAAAAGAACAGCAAATAAGGACTAGAACCAGCAAAAAAAGGGAAATAAGATTAGAGCAGAGATAAATGATATAGAAATCAAAAAACCTGTAGAACAGATCAATGATACCAAGAGCTGGTTCTTTGAAAGAATTAACCAGATTGATAAAGCCCTGGCCAGACTTATCAAAAAATAAAGAGGGGGGTGGAGC